AAGTAAAAACATAAAAGAAACGGATGCCAATCTATATTTATCTTAAGATAACTAAAATGGCAATACTCTTCCAAGTTAACCTACAACAGCATAATCCTGTCAGAATCTAAGCTGGTTTCTTTGCAGAAATCAACAAGTTGATCCTGATTCATATGAAAATTCAAGAGTCTAGAACAGTTATAACTATCTTGAGAAAAAATGAAGCTGGGGACTTGCTCTTCCTCATTTGAAACTTAACAAAAATCTGCAGTAATCAAGACAGCATGGTGCTGGAACAGACATACAGATCCATGGGGTAAGTTTAAAGCCACAAATAAACCTTTAAATTTATAGACAGCTGACTTTATACAATGTATGCTGAGGCAGTTAAATGGAGAAGATTCATCAGATGATGCAAGGATGATGAATAACTATATACAGAAGAATGTATGCATGATCACATAAAACACTAAATTAAAGTTGATCAGAATCTGGTAAACTGCTAACATTGTAAAATTCTTAGAAAGAAATAATAAACTGGACTTCATAAAACTTTTTTAAAGATTTATTTATTTGAAAGTTAGAGTTACACAGAGAGAGGAGGAGATATAAAAGTTAAAAAAAATGTTGTTCACTGGATACCATCAAAGAAAGTGAAAAAAAAAAAACAACCAACAGAATATGAGGAATATTTACATGTCATACACTGTTACAAGGACTTGTAACCAGAATGTATACATATAAATAAACTCCTATAACTCAATACAAAAAAACAAAATTACCAAATAAAAGTTGAACAAAATGTATGAATGAACATTTCCTCAAAAAAGATATGCAAATAAAAAGATGCTGACCCTTATTCTTCATTAGGGAAATACAGATCAAAACCACTGGGAGATACAAATTTCACGAGGAGAGTGACAACAGGAATGGCAGAGAATTGGCACAGATGTGGAGAGAACGGAAGCCTCATACATTGCTTGTGGGATTGTAACATCATGCAGACACTTTGATAAGTAGTCCAGCAGCTCCCCAAAAGCTTAACACAGAAGTATTGTATGACCACATGTTATACCTCTATGTGTACTTCAAAAAACTGAAAACCTATGTGAACACACACATACACACAAACACATCAATGAATGCTCACAGCAGTGTTGGTTTTACTAGTTCAATGATGGAAACACCTCTGATGTCCTGATGATGAATGGACAGAAAAAGCATGGCAAAATCATACAATGGAAAGTTATTCAGCTATGAAAAAGGGAATAAAGAATCAATATGGCCGGCACCGCAGCTCACTAGGCTAATCCTCTGCCTTGCGGCGCCAGCACACTGGGTTCTAGTCCTGGTCAGGGCGCGGGATTCTGTCCCGGTTGCCCCTCTTCCAGGCCAGCTCTCTGCTGTGGCTAGGGAGTGCAGTAGAGGATGGCCCAAGTACTTGGGCCCCTGCACCCCATGTGAGACCAGGATAAGTACCTGGCTCCTGCCATCGGATCATTGCGGTGCGCAGGCCACAGTGCGCTGGCCGCGGCAGCCATTGGAGGGTGAACCAACGGCAAAGGAAGACCTTTCTCACTGTCTCTCTCTCTCACTGTCCACTCTACCTGTCAAAAAAAAAAAGAATCAATATGTATTTTACCATAAACGAACATTGGAAGTTATTTTATACAAAAGAAGCCAGTCACATAAGACCTCACATTGCATGTTTCCATTTACAGGAAATAAGCAAAATCATAGAGACAGGGAAGATTAATAGTTATCCAATGTTGAGGAAGGGTGGGGGTAGGGAGATGCTAAGGGGCACAATTCCCTATAGGGGTAATGAAAATGTTCTAGAATGCACTGTTATAATGGTTGTAAGATACCAATTGTGATAAATGTGTACACTAATACACTTTAAATGATGTGGATTTTATAGATTACAAATTATATCTCAATAAAACATTTACTAAATTCCTAGAAATCTCAAGGGACCATCATGTTAATGCTGGGGATGAGCCGCTCCTCACCCTGGGATGGCCTGTATGTTGGCAGGTGGAATGGGTGTGAGAGAGAAGTAGCATTATGTGTCAACATACATGAATGCAGACCAGATTACTGACTCTCTGGAGTAGCCACAGGGGTAGCTCTCAGCAAGCCACAGTAAAAATACTCAAGCTTCAAGATTAAAGAAAGGAATTGCTGCTCTAGACAGGTGTCCTAGAAACAAATGTCCTAGAAAATGAATTATTTATAATCCCTCAACTAGCATGCAGGGCTTAGATTGCACCTCCTAGTTTTTCAAACTTTGTATGGCAGATTAAAAGGAGCTGCATCTCTGAGCGGGGAGCCTGTTTTTACCTGCTGGACACAGCTCTCAAGAGCAGGTAACAACAAACACCTCATGTTATGCATGCCTTCATGTTTCTGAGTCAATCCTTTGGTGGACATATGGCCACCAGTGGGCTAATTTCCCACACCCATAGGGGCAGAGGTGGGCTGGGAAGCCATTCATTCAATCAGCAACACACACATGAGTTGACAAGGCCACATAATGGGTTTGTGGTGCAGGTACACAAGGTGATGCCTTTAGAACACTCGGCTGGTCTCCATCCAGCTGCACATAGCCCTCGTCAGTTCATGCACTCAACAACAAATTCAACTTCTTTGGTAATGACAGGAACCAAGCACACTCCTTCAGCTAGGCCTACAGCCTGCACAACCATCCCAGGATGCAGTTAAGCATTGTGAACCCCATCTCTTCCAAATTTAGCCAAGTGATTCCAAACAAGAAGCCATTTGGAAAGAAGTCAGAAAGGCAGATTTGAACAAGGATGTATTCTCTCTCACAAGGACAGTTGGTAAGACACTAACTGCTCAGCAACAGGACATGCACTTTGACACAGCTGAGGATGGGGTGGATTTGAAGGTGAGCTAGTGGGGACAGTGTTGTGTGTAGTTGGTAAAGCTGCTACCTGTAACATCAGCATTCTAACTGGGCACTGGTTTATGTGCCAGATACTCCACTTCTGACCTAGCTCTCTGCCATTGGCCAGTGAATGGAAGAGCACCCTCTTGCTGGCTTTCTCACAACCCTTTTATACCCCCAACTCCTTCAAAATAAAGAAATCTAAAAAAAAAAAATACACTGAGCTTATAGCATACAAAACCCCCAAATAAACAAACATACCTGAATGAATGTGAGTGAAATTGAGAGTAGAGCTCTCTAGGATTCCCTTAGCTTTAGGGTATGTTATCGGGTACAAGGTCTAAAGTGTCAGGGCCTGCACTGTGGCACAGTAGGTTCATTCTCTGCCTTCAGTGTTGGCATCCCATATGGGCACCAGGTCAAGTCCTGACTGCTCAACTTCTGATCCAGCTCTCTGCTGGCCTTGCAAAGCAGGAGAAGATGGCCCAATCAGGCGGGCCCCTGCAAAATGCATGGGAGACCAAGAGCTGCTCCTGGCTCTGGGCTTCGGATGGGCCCACCTCCATCCGTAGTGGCCATTTGGGGAGTGAAACAACGATGGAAAACCTCTCTCTCTCACTGTAACTTTACCTCTTGAATAAATAAAATATTTAACAAAAGAGAAAAAAAGGTCTGAAGTACAAAAAAGGCCTAGGCATAGGACTAGGTGTAGGCCATCTTGATTCCCCTCCAGCCTCCTAACCAGAAGACATTCTGCAGTTTCATAATTGTGGGGAGCAACTCGGACTAGACTAAGTTACTGGAATTAAGACTTATTCTATGCATCTGCTTTCCCACAATATGGCGCTGAGAAGGGAAACAGCTTCTACACAGCTGCCTCCAGTTCAACCAAGAAACTGTAGGACCTGCTCCTGATTGGAGGAGAGCAGCGTACTCGGTGTATGGGCAGCCGAGTTGGGATTGGTGGAAGAGGACTATAAAGGAGGAGAGAGACAACATGCACCAGGAACATCTAAGGGGAACATCTATCTGAAGGAACACCTGTGCAGCCCCCGAGAGAGCCGGCCGGCGGTGTGCCACTCCCCCGCGGAAGTGGGGAATGTGGCAGGGGGAACCGCCCTTCCACGGAGGTGGAAGGGTCGGTAGCCAACCCGGGAAGAACCAGCAGCAAACCCGGGGAGGGCCGAGCAGACAAAAGAACAGCGCAGGGTCCTGTGTCGTTCCTCCATGAAGAGGGGGAGCGACAATAATAAAGTCACAAAGGGGAGACTGATCCAGATGCCCAGATGAGGAAATTGAGGGGCAAGGAGGCACCAGGAGCCTGTGTGGGCAGCTAATAGCCTGGAGCTCAGGGGGTCCTGGCAGATGCCCTCCACAGACAGAAGAGGCTCATCCATTTGTCAGTCACATCAGCTGGGTCACCCAGCCTCCCCAAACACCCTCGCACCCCAGGCCAAGGCATTCTCTTGGAGGCTGCAGGCCTAAACACAGGATGTCAGGGTGCACAGGAGCTAACTGGCTGTCCCGGAGGTCAAGTTTTCCATTACCGCCTGCCACGCCAGGTCACGTCCAACACCCGGAGCCTGGCAGCCACACTGCAGGATGAGGCCTATTGCACTCTCCCCCTTGCATAATCCTAACGATCCACTCAGTACCTTGGCTACCGGCCAGTCTGCTTCCCCAGTATGCTTGGACTCTACACCACCTCCCTCTCTCTTCGGGGCCCTGCCTGCAAGTTCGGTGTGCCCCATGAGCTGACCCTTTAGCCCAGCGGCCATGAAAGGCAGGCCAGGGAGAGTGGTGCCACTGGCGTTCTGCAGCTCCTCATGAAGACAAAGCAGCAAGGCCTGGGCTTCAGGTGAAGCCTACACACCCGCCCAAAGTCCAGAGCAGGGGCACCAACACCAGGAACTTTGCATCTCTGCAGACCCCACCTGTTGCCTAACTCCCGGAAGGGGCCTCGGACCTCCAGGCTCCAATTCCACCGCGATCTTGCAGGAGGGAACAGAAAATTCCAGGCACTGGCCTCTAGGTTCATCCCCTCCCAACCTGCAATGCCTGTGCCCGCTGGAGCTCTGCCCCGTTCCCTTGCCCCTCAGGTCCTACTTACCTGCTGCTCCGGACACGCACTGTTGCAAGGGACTGAGGCGGCGCGATCACCTCTACCGCCACCAGGGGGAGCGCGGACACTCGGCGAGCTCAGCGAGCGCGCGCGCACAAGCGCGCGGTAACGGACACGGACCTCCTCAGGCGCCGGCGTGACCAGGGCTCCGCTCTAGTCTGTAGGAGGAAGCCGGAGCTCAGTCCTGGCAGCCAGAGGCGCAGGTGCACTTGGCTTCCTTCAGTGCCCACCGCCGCCGTGTGCAGTCCAACGACGTAGTCGGGACCCGGCAGAACCAAAGTCATGGCTCTCACATGGCGCGACACGCGCGCCGCAACACGCCACGCCGCGCCAGGTCACGTTACACGCGACACGACACGACACGCCGCGTCACGTCACACGCGCCACAACACGCCGCGCCACGCCGCGCCGCGCCACGCCACGTCACGTAGTATTCCGGAGAGCGTGTTTGCGGCAAAACTCTCAGCGGAACGGGCTGGAGGCTGAGAGGCTCTGGTCAGCGGGCCCACTGCGGTCTGGGGCGCCGGAGCCCTGAGCAGTGGGCACAGGGACGGACGCCAGGTGCTGGTGAGTTTTGTGCTTCTGCCCTTGTAAAATAGGAAACTAGCAAAATCTATTACCTCTAGCGGAAAGTTACAGCGTGCGTGGTAAACGTAATAATTGTAAAATCCGAGAACGGGTGTGTAGGGTGAGTGAGGAATGCAACAGTGGTTTGGGAAATGTCCTGTCTCCTCCCCTGGGTTGTTGGGTGCATGCGTCTTCATCATATTGTAATGGTGGATGTTTAAGTTGATGGTGTTTTGTATGTGTATGTCACCATGTGAAGTGCTGAATGCAGCACGCAGTGAGGGAAAGCGGGTAAGTTGTTGAGGTCATGGTATCATGGAAAGGCTAATGCCAATGAGAACAAATGTGATCACGTTACACAAGTAGTTACTTGTCAGGCGGGGTAATATTGCTGGTGCCTTTATATGTGATTGCAAAAAGCTCTGTAATGGCCCAGGTCCTTGGGCCCTGCACCTGCATGGGAGACCAGGAGGAAGCACCTGGCTCCTGGCTTCCGCTTGGCACAGCCCGCCAGCCGTGGCAGCCATTTGGGGGGGGGGGGGTGAACCAACAGAAAAAGGAAGACCTTTCTCTCTCTCTCACTAAATCTATCTGTTTAAAAAAAAAGGAAAAATAATAGTAGTTATTTTTAAATAAATTGACACTGAAAAAAGTGATTTTTAATTTTTTAGAAAGTTTATGTTTAATGAATATAAAATCATAGGTACAGATTTAGGAATATAGCAGTTCTTCCCCTCCATACTTGCCCTCCCATCCCCTCTCTCTTCCCACTTCCTGCTCCCTTCCCCATAATATTCTTCATTAAGATACATTTTTAATTAACTTTATATACAGAAGACCAACCCTATACTAAGATTTCTATAACTGGCACTTCTTTGGGCACACAAAATATAAATTACTGTTTGAAAATAAGTTTTACAGTTAATTCTCACAGTACAACTCATTAAGAACAGAGGTCCTACATGGGGAATAAATGCACAGTGACTCCTGTTGTTGATTTAACAATTGACACTCTTATTTATGACATCAGTGATCACCCAAGGCCCTTGTCATGAGCTACCAATGCTTTGGAAGACTTTTGAGTCCACAAACTCCATCGGTATTTAGGCAGGGTCATAAGCAAAGTGGAAGTTCTCTCCTCCCTTCAGAGAAAGGTACCTCCTTTGATGGCCTCTTCTTTCCACTGGGATCTCACTCACAGAGGTCCTTCATGTAGATCATTTTTGGCACAGTGTCTTGGCTTTCCATGCCTGGAAAGGCTCTTATGGGCTTTTCAGCCAGATCCGAATGCCTTAAGGGCTGATTCTGAGGTCAGAGTTTAGGGCACATTTGTCATTAGTCTCCTGTGTGGGCTGCTTCCTATGTGGCAACATTCTCTTCTATTTAATTCTATCTATTGTTATTAACAGACATTTGGTCTTATTTATGTGATCCCTTTGGCACTTAATCATAACTATATGATCAATTACACACTTAATGTGATCACTGTAACATGTAGGATGCCATTAGTACCACCCATCTTAATGAGATTTCGAGTCCTATGGCAATTTTTTAGCTTTACCCTTGGGGTAAGTCTGTGGTCATGTGTCCTGAAACTTACATCTCCTATTCCCTCTCTTATTTTTTACTGGGGTCTATTTTCAATTGGATTTAAACACCAATGGATAATTCTGTTAAGTAAAGGGTTCAAACAATGGTATTAACTAGAAAAAGAAAATAGTAAAAAAGAAATAAGTTAATGAACTGCTCCTTGAGAGTCAAAACAAGGGCTATTCAAGTCACTGATTCTCAGAGTGTCAACTTCACTTCTACTGGTTTCTTTTCAGGTGCTCTGTTAGTTGTCACAGATCAGGGAGAACATATGATGTTTGTCCCTTTTGGACTGGCTTATTTCACTAAGTATGATATTTTCCAGATTCATCCATGTTGTTGCAAATGACCAGATTTCATTTTTTTTACTGCAGTGTAGTATTCCATAGAGTATATATTCCATAATTTCTTTATCCAGTCTTCTGTTGATGGGCATTTAGGTTGATTCCATGTCTTAGCTATTGTGAATTGAACTGCAAAAAACATGGAGGTGCAGATAACTATTTTATTTGCTCATTTCATTTCCCTTGGTTAAATTCTGAGGAATGGGATGACTGCGTCCTATGGTAGGTCTATATTCATGTTTCTGAGGTATCTCCTTAGTGGTTTTACCAATTTGCATTCCCACCAACCAGTGGATTAGGGTACATTTTTCCCGGCATCCTCACCAGCATTTGTTGTTAATCTCTGTATGAAATCCACTCTAACTAGGGTGAGGTGATAGCTCATTGTGGTTTTGATTTACATTTCCCTGATGGCTAATGGTCCTTAAAACTTATTCATGTGTCTGTTGGCCGTTTGAATTTCCTCTTTTGAAAAATATCTGCTTAAATCCTTGGCCCATCGCTTAACTGGGTTGTTTTGTTGTTGTTGATCTCTTGATCTCTTTTAGATTCTGGTTATTAATCCTTTATCAGTTCATCTTTTATAAATAATTTCTCCCATTCTGTTGGTTGCCTCTTCAATTTCTCGATTGTTTCTTTGGTCCTACAGAAACCTCAACTTGAAGTAACCCCATTTGTTCATTATGGTTTTGACTGCCTGTGCCTCTGGGATCTTTTCCAAGAACTCTTTGCCTGTGCCAATGTCTTGCAGGGTTTCTCCAATGTTCTCTAATAGTTTGATGGTGTCGGTTCATGCATTTCAATGTTTAATCCATGTTGAGTAGATTTCTGTGCAAGGTGTAAGGTAGGGGTCTTAATTCATACTTCAGCATGTGGAAATCCAGTTTTCCCAGCACCATTTGTTTAAGAGGCTGTCCTTGCTCCAGGGATTGATTTTAGCTCCTTGATCAAATATGAGTTGTTTGTAGATGTTTGGATTGATTTTTGGTGTTTCTATTCTGTTCCATTTGTCTGTCCCTCTATTTTTGTACAAGTACCAGGCTGTTTTTATTTATTTATTTTGACAGGCAGAGTGGATAGTGAGAGAGAGAGAGAAAGGTCTTTCTTTTACCATTGGTTCACCCTCCAATGGTCGCCACGGCTGGCGCGCTGCAGCTGGCGTACCGCGCTGATCCGAAGGTAGGAGCCAGGTGCTTATCCTGGTCTCCTATGGGGTGCAGGGCCCAAGCACTTGGGCCATCCTCCACTGCACTCCCTGGCCACAGCAGAGAGCTGGCCTGGAAGAGGGGCAACCAGGACAGAATCCGGCACCCCGATCGGGACTAGAACCCGGTGTGCTGGCGCCACTAGATGGAGGATTAGCCTAGTGAGCCGCGGCGCCTGCTTCCAGGCTGTTTCTGTTATAACTGCCTTGTAGTATGTCTTGAAAACTGGTATTGCTTTTGTTGTATAAGACTGATTTAGTTGTTCATATGTGCCTCCATATGAATTTCAACATCATTGTTTCTAGATCAGAGAAAAATTTCTTTGGTATTTGGATTGATATCACATTGAATCTGTAAATTGTTTTCAGAAGAATGGACATTATGATATTGATTTTTCCAACCCAAAGCATGGAAGCTTTTTCCATTTTTTGTGTCTTCTTCTTTTTCTTTCTTTAATATTTTATAATTCTCATCATAGAGATCTTTGACATCCTTGGTTAAATTTATTCCAAGGTATTTGATTTCTTTGTAGGTATTGTGAATGATTGATCTTAGAAGTTCTTTCTCAGCTGCAACATCATCTTTGTATACAAAGGCTGTTGATTATTGTGTATTGACTTTATTTTTTTAAAACATTTATTTTATTTATTTTGAAAGACAGAGTTACAGAGAGAGCTAGAGAGAGAGAGAGGTCTTACGACCACTGGTTCACTCCCCAGATGGCCTCAACTGCCGCCGGAGCTGTGCTGATCCGAAACCAGGAGCTTCTTCCAGGTCTCCCATACGGGTGCAGGGGCCCAAGGACTTGGGCCATCCTCTACTGTTATCTCAGGCTGTAGCAGAGAGCTGGATTGGAATAGGAGCAGCTGGGACATGAACCGGTGCCCATATGGGATGCTGGCACTTCAGGCCAGGGCGTTAACCCCCTGTGCCACAGTGCCAGCCCTGTGCATTGACTATATATCCTGCTACTTTACCACACTTTTCCATGAGTTCCAATAGTCCCTTAGTGGAGTTTTTTGGATCCCTTATATATAAAATCATATTGTGTGCAAATAGGGATAATTTGTCTTCCTCCTCCCCAATTTGTATCCCTTTGATTGCTTTTTCTTGCCTGGCAAAAATTTCCAGGACTATATTGAATAGCAATGATGAGAATGGGCATCAATGTGATTTTAGCTATATGTGTGTGATTAGTTACTCTTGTTCTGATTTCAGACACATCTCCATTGTCATATCATCAGGTTGAGAAGGGTTTTAACTGGAGTGAACATTTTGCCTTTTCTGTGCCCTATTGCACTTACACAGTGGTGTCCAAAGGAAAATATAATGATCAATTCCTCGAAGAATAAGGTTGGGGGGCAATGTTGTGGCATAATTGGTAACACTGATACCTGTGATGCCAGTAAC